TTTGAAAATAAATAAATTTTTTGAGGAATTTATTTAAAATTGTATTGAAAATAATTGAAATCTTGTAAAGAATTTTTATTACATTTTTTTAAATAATTGAAATCCTGTCAAGAATTGTAGGGGAATGTAGTCAAGGTTGGCCTACTGTCTAGGTAGGCCACTCGCGTTTTTTTGTCAAGTTCACTAGCGCCACCTACGCGCATTTTTGTCGAAGCTTGTCTTAGTGAAACCTAACTTTTTGTTCAATTACATTTTCGGAAAATCGAAAATTGTGTTTTCTGTGACGTCGGTACAAAAAAAGCTCAAAAAAAGTTTTGTGCATAATGTGAAAAACCATTAATAAAAGATAAAAAACAAATTGAATCGTCAAGGCAAGTATGCAGAAAATTTGTGGGACTCATGGTTGAAAGGAAAACAAAGTAAAAAATCGAATCCCGAAACGTATTTCTTTATGGTTACAACAATTCGGTAATGTTACTTACTGTCAAGGTCGGCCACTATGTGTTTAAAATGCGCAAAGTTGAGGACGAGCTACTTCATTTGCAAAAACTGCAATTCTGTATAACTCATAATATAATTGATCATCTTATTAATATTTTTATTTAATTTTATTAATATTTTAGTGCAAAAATTTTTTTTATTTATATTTATTTTTTTATATTGTTTATTGTTATTATTTTGTTATTTCATTAAGTTACAAACTGTAAACAATAAAGAATCAATTTTCCGTAACTCTAAACATGTCATTTTATTTTTTAACGATTAATGCCCTTTGAATTTTAAACATGGCCGACCTTGACTGTAATGGCCAACCTGGACTACAAATTTTTTTTTTTTTAAATCTTTATAACTTTTTCATTTTTAAACCTGTCAATTTACTTTGTACAGAAAAAATGTTCCTATTAAACAGGACTTTCCAACCATATACTTCAATTGTCCAAATTCATTTTTAAAAAAAAGTTATAAACAAAAGTCAAAAAGGTGGCCGACCTAGACTATGTTCCCCTATTCTTTATGAAAATAATTGAAATCCTGTCAAAAATTGTATTCTTTATGAAAATAATTGAAATCCTGTCAAAAATTGTATTCTTTATAAAAATAATTGAAATCCTGCCAAGAATTGTATTATTTATAAAAATAATTGAATTCTTGCAATGCATTTTATTACACTTTTTTTTAAAAATAATTGAATTCATTTAAGAAATTTTATTAAAATAGTAGATTTTGAAAATATTTGAATTTCATTAAAGAATTTCATTATTTGTGAAACGTAATTGAATTTTTGCAAAAAAATTTTGAATCCAATTATTTAAAAATTTGTTGATAAAATTCTTTATGAGAATTCAAATTTAAGAAACTTTAAGAAAATTAAATAAATTGTTTTTTTTTTTATTTAAATAATTGAAATCTAGTAGAATTTTTGAATAAAAATTGATTTAAAAATGAATTTCAGTTAAAATTTTAAATAATAATTGAAAATTAACAGCATTATAGAATGAATTAATAGAAATAATTGAATTTTAAAAAGATTCCAAATTATTTTCAAAATTTTAATAGAATTCTTCACAAAAATTTTATTATTTGTATAAACAATAAAATTCTTCGAGAAAAATTAAATTATTTTCGAAATTTTAACAAAATCCTTCGCAAAAATACAATTATTATTTTGATGAATTCAAAAAATAATAGCAAGAATTGAATTATTTTCAAAATTTAAATAGAATTCTTGATAAAAATTCAATTATTTGTATAAATATTAAAATTCTTAAAAACAATTCAATTATCTTCAAAATTTTAATAAAATTCTTCTTAATAATTTATTTATTTTTATAAATAAAAAAATTCTTTTCAGAAATTCAATTATTTGTATAAATAAATAAAATTCCTCTGAGAAATTCAATTACTTTCAAAATTTTAATAAAATTCTTCTCAAAAATTAAATTATTTGTATAAATATTTAAAATTTATCGAAAATAATTAAATTCTTGTAGAGAATTTTTATTACATTTTTTTTAAATAATTGAAGTCTTGTGAAGAATTTTATTATTTATGAAAATAATTGAATTCTTGCAATGCATTTTATTACACTTTTTTAAAATAATTGAATTCATTTAAGAAATTTTATTAAAATAGTAGATTTTGAAAATATTTAAATTTCATCGAAGAATTTCATTATTTGTAAAATGTAATTAAATTTTTGCAAAAAATTTTTGATAATAATTAATTTTTTTGGGGAATTTATTTAAAATTGTATTAAAAATAATTGAAATCCTGTCAAAAATTTTATTATTTATGAAAATAATTGAATTCATGTGAAAAATCTTATTACTTGTAAAAATAATTGAATTGTTGGGAAGGATTTTATTAAAAATTTTGTAAATAGTTTAATATATTTTTGAAAAATTTTATGGGAATTTATACAAAACATGAAAACATCAATAACTCCGAGTCTTCGACTCGGAGTGATCGATATCTTTATGTTTTGTAATTATATTCTTATAATTTGTTGAATTTCATAAAGATTTGAATTTGAAATTTTTTGAAAATCTTAATTCCTATGGAATAATAATAATGATTAAATATTTATTTAAAAAAGAATTTTTTAGTGTTTTGGAATAATTTTACAATTAAAAAAATTCGTAATTAAATATAATACAACAGTTTTTTGAGTGTCTAATTATTTTTAGAATTTAATAATAAGCTTTGAAGTATTTTTTTGCAAAACGCATATTTCATTCAAGTTTTGCAAAAAAAATTGCAACAAAGCTTATTATTAGATTCTAATCATAATAGAAATGTTAAAATAATATTAAAATTTTAATTACAAAATGTCATGATAATTTTTTTAGTAAAAAAATTAATTTTCTAATAATAAACGTAAAAAAAAATTAGGCCAACTTTAGAATAGACATAAAATTTAAAAGAAATAACAATTAATTGACGACTGTAGACAATTCTAATTATAGAGACGCGTAAGTCAATGGAATTCAAAGTCTTTCATGTGTACAGAATTTAACCGCGAAATTATGTCATTTATACATGAAACAATATTATCTAATTACACATTTATCTCGCGTCATCGCTTTTAATTCATGTGAAAAATCTCTCACTGTCCAAAAGACAAAAAAATAAAAAATAAAAATAAAAATTTTAAATAGAGAAAAAAAAACAGGAAAAATTTAACTTTATTTTTTTTTCTTTTAAATTCATGTATGTTTTATAAAAGAGGATGTGGTCACAAAGATCCAGACCCGCAAAACAGAGATCTAATTGACGGTACATAAAGAAACTAGAGATGAATGAAAGGAAAAGAGTTAAAGGAATATCAAATAACTTATTCCCCATGGCACGTGACTTTATTCGAGCGTGACTCAAAAAAAATAATCTGTATCACTTTCTCGCAAAAGTCACATAAGAATATTATTTTTACAGAAAAATGTTTATCAAAGAAAAAATAATTTCGTTTTTTTTAGCAAATTTTTTTCATTTTTGGAAACTTGGAAACTACAAATAATAAAAATTACCGTCAGTTTTATTTTATTTTTATTTATTTTATTTTAACCACCAAAATTGAAAATACAATTAATAAAAAAACTATCGTTAAGTAGGTAGTTATTAGTTTTATTGGCGGTAGTTTTTTATTGTTTGTATTTTTTATTATTTTATGTATTATTTTATTATTTTATGATTATTTTTTGTATTTTTAATGGAAGGTAGTTTTTATTATTTGTATTTTCAATGGAAAGTATTTTTTTTTTTTTTGGTAATAGTTTTCTCTGACGGTAGATTTTATTATTATTAGTTTCCATTGACGGTAATTTTTTTAATTGTAGTTTCCATTGGCGGTGATTTTTATTATTTGTAGTTTCTATTGACGGTAATTTTTAAATAAATTAATTGATAATTTTCATTAATGAGCAAAAAATTAATTGAAGATAATTGAATTGTTAAATACATTTTCAAAAAAAAAAAAAAAAAAAATTAAATGAACAAAAAAATAAAAATTGTATTCAAAAAGAAGAAGAACCACTGATGAATCTGGATTAAGAGACAATTTGAATCGAGGAGAAGTAAATAAAACGTCAATTAGATTGATAAATTGTAAATAAATGATGCGAAAGTCTATGAATCTGGTGTTCCTGGAAGAGTTAGAAGCAAAGTGCCGACTCTCGAGTTTGTATAGTATAATACCATAAGAAATTTCTGCGTCGACAGCAAATGGTTGGCTCAGAATATTTCTTCTTTTTTTTTATTCTTCTTCTTCTTGCTTTATCTAAACAAAGCACCCGTCCTTCGGAACATCTTTGCATCCCACGCTCTCGAGGGTACTGTCGATTATCTGTTTTAAACAAAAAAAAAAGAACAAAAAAAACAAAAAACGAAACCAACTTAAATAAAATTCCCAACTACTGCTTTTTCGGAAACTTTGTTGAATTTCGGTATTTATTATATGAGTATTTATATATTATACAAAAGAAATGATTTTTCGGTGAAGAATTTAAAAAATTCTTTTTTATTCTTCACTAAACTAAAATGGAAAAATAAAAAACTAAAAAAGTAAAAACTAACTACACTGAAGGAAAATTTGATTCAAATAAATATTTACTTGAAACAAATAATTTTTATTGAAGTCAGTTAAATTGTATTTGCTTTAAATACTGAAATTATTGGTTTAAAATTTAAATATTTATTGATTAAAATTTATTTCATTTAAATACAAATTATTTTATTCAAGCAAATATTTTTTTTTTGATAAAATAGACAAAATTATAATTTTAATAATTTAATAATTAAATTTTATTTTTAATTTAATTTAATATTTAGTTTTTTAATTTAATAATTAATTTAATATTTAATTTAATATTTAATTTAATATTTAATTTAATATTTAATTTAATATTTAATTTAATATTTAATTTAATATTTAATTTAATTATTTAATTTAATTATTTAATTTAATAATTTTAATTATTTTTCTCTTTCTGTTTGTTTTTCGTTAGATATGCAACGACAGTGAGAAATGTAACTGCACGGGTATAAAAGGAGAGCCTGGACATCTTGGAATTCCAGGAGGAAGTGGAGCCCAAGGAATACCGGGAGAAGTTGGTCCAGATGGACCAGTGGGACCGAAAGGCGAAAAAGGAGCTGCTGGAGAACATGGCAGCACAGGAGAAAAGGGTTACCGAGTAAGTAGAATCATTTTTTCTTTTTCTTTTTTTTTCTATATCTGAACTTGTTTGTTCTTTTCTTTCTCAACCTCGAAGACATTTATGATGACCCTTTAAAAAAGAATCACGTGATTCCCCTACTGACCTCTTCAGTATTTCTACACACCCATGACCTTCAAAACAAAATGCTCTAATTTCAAGAATACTTTATCTCAAATATTATAATTTTTTTTCGAATTTAATAGAAATTTAATTATCTACAGTTAACACACATTATTACAAATAAACCATTAATTTCCTGATTTGATTAGAAAAAGCCATTTGTCTACGAGACGATGATGATGATGATGATGACAAAAACATTATTGTTAATCTTGAATTTCGGAAAATTTCGATAAAATTAAATTAATTAATAAATTTAGAATTAATGAATTAATTAAAAAATTAATTAATAAATTAATAAATAAATTTTTTGAGAAAGAAAAAAATAATTTTTGACAATATTAATAATATTAATAAATTTAGAATTAATGAATTAATAAATTAATTAATAAATTAATAAATAAACTAATTAATAAAAATAAATTAATAAATAAAGTTGTTGAGAAAGAAAAAAATAATTTTTGGCAATATTTATTGACTTCGTAAATTTTATACACAGAATTTTTATTTATTTATTGTTATTATTTTATTATTTACCAGCAACGTGATGTTCAATTTGTCATTATTATGCAAAATTAAAAAATTTTCTATTTTGAAATATGAATTTTTGACTAATTTCAGATTCAAACTTTAAAAAAATTCAATTATTTACTAATTTACTAATTAATTATTCTTGTTTATTAATTTAAAAATTTTTAATAAAATTCTTCGCAGGAATTCAATTATTTTCATAAATAATAACATTCTTCTGAAGAATTAAATATTAAATAGTAAAATTTTTTGCAAAAATTCAATTACTTTTAAACAAAATTTTAATTAAATTGCACGAACGAATACAATTTTTTTTTACTTTTAGTAAATCCTTCGAAACAATTTAATTATTTTTTTAAATAGTGAAATATTTGCAAAAATTCAATTATTTTCAAAAAAAAATTCATGAATGATTTCCATTTTTTTTCTTAATTTGTTATAAGATCTTTGCAAAAATTCAATGTATTTTCAAAAAAAAATTTCATGAAAGAATTCAATTTTTTTTTAATTTGTACTAAAATATTTCAAAAGAATTCAATTATTTTTTTAAATTCTAATAAATTTCTTCGCAATAATTCAATTTTATTTTTATAGTAAAATTCTTTGCAAAAATTCAATTTTTCAAAAAATTTTAATAATATTTTTCGAAAAAATTTAAATTAATTTGAAATATTTTAATTAAATTCTTCACAAGAATGCAATTATTTTTCTAAATAATAATAATATTCTTCTGAAGAATTCAATATTAAATAGTAAAATTTTTTGCAAAAATTCAATTACTTTTAAACAAAATTTTAATAAAATTTCACGAACGAATACAATTTTTTTCTAAAATTTTAATAAATCCTTCAAAACAATTGAATTATTTTTTTAAATAGTGAAATATTTGCAAAAATTCAATTATTTTCAAACAAAAATTTCACGAAAGATTTCAATTTTTTTTTCTTAATTTGTTATAAAATCTTTGCAAAAATTCAATGTATTTTCAAAAAAAAATTTCATGAAAAAATTCAATTTTTTTTTTTAATTTGTTATAAAATATTTCAAAAGAATTCAGTTATTTTTTTAAATTTTAATAAATTTCTTCGCAACAATTCAATATTATTTATATAGTAAAATTTTTTGCAAAAATTTAATTATTTTTAATACAATTTTAATAACATTTCATGAAAGAATTCAATTTTTAATCATATTTTTCGAAAAAATTCAAATTATTTTTTAAAAGTTTGATAAATTCTTCAAAACAATTCAATTATGTTTAAAAATAGTAAAATTCTTTGCAAAAATTCAATTATTTAAAAATTAGTCTAGTTAGGATATTTTTTAAAAGAATTCAATTATTTTCCAAAATTTTAGTAAAATTCAATAATTAAATGTTTAATTTCAATTATAACAAAAACGATTGTTTTAAAAAAATTGTAGAAAATTGTCTATAAAATTCAATTACATTCCAAATTTTCATTTCAAATTATTAAAAAAAACTCGATTATTTTTAAAAAATTCATAGAAATTCTTCAAAAAAAAAAATTAATTAAAATTTTCAAACATTTTATCGAAATTCTTCGAATGAATTCAATTATTTTCCTAAATAATAAAATTCTTCGAAGTAATTCTATTATTATCAAATTTTTTGATAAAATTCTCTGCAACAATTCGATGATTTTCAATAAATTAATTTTAAAATTGAAAATATTTAAAAAGAAAAATTATTAAAAAAGTTAAGAAACAAAAAAGCAAACTTTACACATTTTCAATTTTTACCCTTAGAATTTCTTATAATTTTTTATAATTTTTCTTAATTTGTAATTCGGTGAGAAAATTTCCATTCGTTTAGAAAAAAATTGTTTATAAACAAAATGAAAATTATATTTATAGAGTTAAACAGTTAGTTGGATAAAAAAAATCAAAAAGTGACTTTATTGCTTCCGTGTAAATTAGTAAAACTTAATTTACATATGTGTCACTCACTAGAAAATAAATTCATAATTATTTCGAATCAATAATTTTTGAATGCTAATTTTTTGAGAATATAAAAAACTTAAGGATAAACTAATATAGAAGAACAATAGTATAAAGAAATTAAAAATTTAATTCTCAATAGATTGAAATTTGAAAATTAAAAATTGAAATCGAAAAAAAATAAAATAAATTCAATCAAATTTTAATAAAAATTAAACTGAAATAGAATTGAAATTGCGATAAAATTAATTTTTAATAAATTAAAATTTGCATAAATTATATTTGCAATAGAATTGAAATTTGAATAAATTTTATTTGTAATAAATATTTATTATTTCTTTAATATTATTTATTGTTATTATATTAATAAATTCAAAACTAAAACCAAATAAAAAAAAATTAAATAGAGAAAAACAATTATTTTATCAACACTTTGAAACAATGAAAAATTTAAATCGATGTGTTTTAAATTGATTCGAATCAATATTAAGATCCTCATGATGAGAAAATTGAAAGTGATACTTATGTAAAGTTTAAGTCTCGAGTGGCCTGCATACATCATTTTTTTTTTCATTTTTCTTTTTCATTTTAATATTTATTAACTGACACTGATGCCTCAATAAAAGACCGAGTTGGTAAAAAGTCATTAAGAATATTGTCATTGCTGACTTCCAGGAATCGCATGTAAAGAATAGAATAGAGAAAAAAAAATGCACAATCGTAAATGTCGCATCGTATGAATTCCAAATGAGATATATATGAAAGTCAAAGATTCAATGAAAAACTGCCCACATGTGTTGTAGACTATTTTTCTTTTTTAGTAACGTGAATTTTTCAATTCGAAAAAATAGAATATAAAATTATGATTATATAATTAATGTGTCGAGTTATGTCGAACGTAAAATTAAAAATTTTTTTTTTTCTTCTTTTTTTATTGATGATGAAGATGCGTTTGAGGGAGACCAAAAAAAGAATTGTGTGAGACATTACAATTGCGTCACCGCAAAGAAAGTGCATGAGGATGACCCAGCTGTTAATAAAATTGAATCACTATTTACTGCGCTCGCAAACAGAGTGAAATTACTTTTTCACTGGTCAATTAGTCAGATAATGGACTTTTTTTTTATAGAAACTTGTTCTTTTCGTGTTTCAAGATTTTTGTTTCTTAATTGCTTTCTGTTGACATCAATATTATTATTATTTATTTCAATAAATAGTAATTACAATAAAAAAAAAATTAATGAATTTTTAATAACTTTATTATTAATAAATTTTTAATAAATTTATTATTTATTTATTTATTATTAATAAATGTTTAATAAATTTATTACTTGCACTCAGAGAAAAATTTTATTTATACCAAATATAATTTATTTGAGTTAAATAAAAGTATATTTGACTCAGAGCCAACTTTATTTATTTGTTACAACTATTTATTTGTTTTGAATAAAAAATTCAAAAAAAATTTCAAATAAATTTTTATTTCAACCAAATAAAATTTATTTTGAAACAAATAAAAAGTCTAGTTGGCTCTGAGTCAAATGTATATTTTTTTTGGGCGTAATAATATTTTAACTATACAATAATAAATAAGTTAATTTTTCAATAAAAATTATTATTAATTTTATTAATATTTTATTAATAGAAAATAAATATAAATTTTTTTTTATTATCTTTGTTAATACTCGGTTTTTAATTTTTACTCCAAACACTATGCAAGCGTAACTGCCGGAAAGTATAACCACATACAAAATTCTTACTTGTGCGGCGGTTAGAATTTTATGTGTGGTTATACTTTCCGGCGACTGATTTTTTTTCTACTTTCTGGATTTATTTTTTTTTGACTACATTTATGCTTGACATTTTGTTTTTACAATCTTTATTATGTTCGATAATAAAGAATAAATATAAAAATAAATAAAAATAAATAAAAATTAATAAAAATTAATAAAAAATAAATATAAAAATAAATAAAAATTAATAAAGAATAAATATAAAAAAAAGAATAAAAATAAAAAATATCAAAAATAAATAAGTAATAAATAAAAATGAATAAAATTAATAAATGGGAAAAAATAATAATACGATTTCTTGTTAGATTAGAAAAAACCAGGTCATTGGCACCGTTGAGATTCATAATTCTAATCATGAACAAATGCGTTGTTCTTCACTCTAGAAATTCCTTTATCGAATTACATTTTTCGATACCCTACTTGCTAGGAAAAACGCGTAGGAGAAAAACGGAAGTGAAATGTATAATTTAAGATTGTCAACGCGCTAGATAAAAACTAGGTTTTTCCCCCTGTTTCAACTGAATCTTCACCGAAAACAATATGGAAATAAAAGGATTCTTTATTTTAGAGGAA